ATCAATAAAATATATTTGTATCGATCTACATGTATTATATATAAATATCACAATATTAAAAATGTATTTATCAATTATTTAATTTAGTGAGTCTTCACTGTGTTATTACTTAAGGAAGAATTTTCAGTAGAAACGCATGTGCAAATGTATTAATTATATATAAAATTATTTGTTGTTGTATCTTTATAATATATTATGCAGAATTATAATATACATTCAAACATAACTAGGAGTTTAAAATATATAATCATTAATAATACAAGAAAAAAATTATAATATATTTTTTAAAAAATCTATGAAATTTAAGGAAATCATAACTCACACGTATAGTTTTATATTCAATATGAATTAATGATATAGGTTAAAAGTTATTGTAACTAATTAAACTGATATTTTTCTTGTATATAAATAACCTCACTATATTTTATCTATGATACACTTTAATAAAAACTTACAGAAATATATTCAATACTTTATATAGAAGTGTTCATATTAATCAAAATTTATTTATATATTTTTAATTACAGTATAATTATAGATCACATTTATAAATAATATTATATTCGATACAATTAACTTTTCATAAATATGAATGTATTTGTAAAATATCATAATTATACTTGTTACGAAGTAATAGCTCCATATATACTTAAAAAAAATTTTTTGGTATATTTTTTGATATATATATGTATTTTTTCAAATAAGAATAATAAAATTATACAAATATTTCATTGAATTTTATTATATCCAAAGATAATAGCATGCAATAAAAAAGAATTTATATATATTTATTCTATAATCAAAGTATGACAGTGCTAAAAAAATAAAAATTATTTACAATTTATTTAATTTAGCGCATAAAATATTATTATTAACATAAATAAAACATATAGAGAACCTATTAAATGCAATATAGAAATGGATACCTTAATTCAAAAAGAAAAAATTTCTTAAGATGTCTATGAAATTTGTATCGTGAAAAAAAATAACTATAAATGAATTACTGAAGTATATAAATATATGCATATTAATGTAAATTATATAGATAATATTAAAAAAATCATATTTTTTTTTATAAAATGCAAAAACCCGAAAATATTTAATTTAGTCTATAGTGTTTATTACTCTTTGCTTTATGAGCATTATGCATAGATAATTCACATTGTAAATGTTATATACACTATAAGACATATTATTAATAATTACAAATAATTTATTTCATAATAATATTATAAATATCACGGAATTCTTAAAATTTATATATGTTTATAATATATTTTTTAAACAAATATACACCTATATTTCATTGAACATAGTGTTAAAATAATAATATATATCATAAAATATTAAAACAATAGACAAAATCATAAAAACAAATATATAATTCAAAATAGCATTATATATATTCTTATAAACGTTATTAGAATTTTTTCAACATATTAGTATATACATACTTAAATTTATGGTTGTTCTATTCTGTTTGAATATAACTCTTTAAAAATTGGTTAATAGTGAGAATTCATCTAGGGGTACGTTTTATATATAATATAAATTATCATTTATGTTAATATAACATATTTGTTCGTAAATTAATTATTTTATTTTTTTTATAAATAAAAATTATATATCTATCATTTGTTTTAAATCCATAGGTTGATGCACTTCAAAAATTACCTTCAAAAAAGAAGTACGCTAATTTCAATGATGGAAATGATAATTGTGAAAGAACTGATTTTTACACTAAAGCAAAGAATCTCATGGATCAGCAGAAGTGGAGGTGTGATGTTTCTGTCAAAATACTTAAAGCCTTATGTTATGAATATAATGAAAGAAATGCCAATAAATTTTATAGTGATGATAGTGATTACCTGTACTTTTGGTTAGGTGATTTATTAGATAGAAATTCCTTATACACTGTTATGGGAACACTTAATTTTTTGCTAAAAAATAATTCTCATCGGAGTATATGTAATTATGATAAGTATGATAAATATCATATAACTTACCTTAATTTTATGGACATTAAAACATTGTTTGATTTTTCGAAAGATTATGAGACACTTAAACCATATTTTCTCAAACCTAATAAATCTTGTAATCATTCTTTTGAGATATATCTTGATGAATGTGTCACAAAATATAACTCTTATAAGAACAGGAATAATGATTTAAATTGTAACGATGACATTTGCAATCCTTTTAATGATTATTTTAATGGTAAGAATAATATGGACTTAAATAATTGGAAATGCAATTCAGTACATAATGCAGATAGTTTAGGAACAGGACAACGAAATCTTGAAGTTGTATCACAATCACTTGCGCAAGAGGAATCACATGGTTTAGAGGAAGAGGTAGTCACACAACAGGTTGTATGTGGAACACGGGAACAGGAAAATGCATATGAGATTGTAAATGAAGCAGAGGACCAAGGAAATTTTCCTGAGAGTGTACATATGAAACAGGTTAAGGGAGATGCAGAAGTAAGTCCTCAAGTAAGAACGACACAGGAAAATTTAAATCAACAGGGATCTATGACTTCAAATGGACAAATATCAGCATATAAACATAACAATGATTCTGCTAATAGCATTAGAGATTCAGAATTTGGTGCATTTTCTGATTTTTTACATAATCCTTCAACTTCTTCATCCTCAAAAAGCATGGTTATTGCTTCATTAGTTATAGGAATTATAGTTTTATCTATAATACTGGGCAAAGTAATAATTATTGTTAATAAAAAAAATATGTAATACATTATATTATGTGAATTTTATTAATTTTTAAAAATGTTTACAAATGTTTTAAATAATATACGTTGCACATATATCATATTTTTATTATTTTACTACAGTTGGGTATTGGTTAAGAAAACACTTATTTGGAAAATCTATAAAGAAACGTAATATTATAATGAATAAGAATATAAAAGATGATTATACAATGCCAGAAGACTTATATTCAAGGAGAAGTTTTAATGTAACATACAGTAATATATATTACTTCTGATTAGGAAACACAAAGAAACCTTCTTGTTACATATATATATGTATCATAAGTATTATTATACAAAACAATTTTTCTATGAAAAGGCGAGAAATTATTTTTTCCTTCATAATACAATAATAATTTGAAATGAATATATTTATTATATAAATAAGCACTGTTTTTAAAATTACAATATTTTTTTTTCATCATATGCATAAACATATAGTAAAATTTATAAATATACGAAATCCAAAGTGTATAATGATTCAGAATTATATTTATGCTACAATTTGTGTATTTATTATTATGTCTAATTATTTTTTGTTAATTTTTTAATATATTATTGTTTTTGTACATAAATAACATGTTTTTTTCTCGTTATATATATTATATTTTGGTGACGATGAACACTATAAAAATATATTATATTATAATAATTTAAAAATATATATTATATTAGCTAATATATATTTTTAATATTTACTGAATATTCTGGTGTTACTACAATAATATCGTAAAAATTTAGTTCAACTTCGTGTTATATATTTGACTCATATAATGATTAATACATCGTTATTTAAACTGATTAAAAATTATAACAAAATTTTTAGCAATTTTGTATATATTTATTTTTAATATTTTTATATTTATCATTGCTATTGTTTCTATTTTCAACAATTTTAATGTACATTTATTATGAGGAAGAAAAGAAACAATTAATATAAAGGTATGTCTACTTATTTGTAATTATATTATTAATTAAAACACTTGTTATTATAATAGTTCTTAATTTTATAAACAATGTAAAACATTATATTTTTTAAATTTTGTTAAAATCATTAAAAATATTTATAATAAATTACATATTAATATATAAATAATGTTTATGTAAGAATTGTAATTTCTACATATGATTTGTGCATTAAATTATGCTTTATTGTCTAATTTAGCATAGCTGATGTCATATAATTGCAATGAATTTTTTTTTCCTAATGTATATATTCTACTGTTTATGATATAAACATTAAATAGTTGGCTCATAAACACTTATTTTTTTTATATTTTATTTGAATATCCTAATATTAATTTGTGTTACGTATTTAATAATATACATCCGATTTATTATTTGTAAATCAATGGAAAAAATTGATTCATTGTATTAACCGTCGCAATATAACATGTGTCAAAATTATATAATGTTGTTTTCATATATGTATTAATTTTTTTTTTATTAATAGTTATTAATAATTTTACATGATTTTACATTGTTAATAATTATGTAATATTAAATCACTTTAAAAAAGAATATAATTCCTATATTTCATATTTATATGTATTGAAAATGCTTATGGAAGAGGAATATTTATGGATCAATTTTAAAAGTTCTTCCGTTTATAAGAAGTCAATTAATTTTATATTGGAACAAATAGCTCACGATAAGTAATATATGCATATTAATTCCTTGTACAAAACATATAAACACTGTGAATCTGTGTATTTCAATTTTTTTTAGATGGATATATTCTATAATTAAATAAAAAATTATGAAACAGAAATCAAGATGTCCTTCTATAGACCATAAATATGGCAGAAATATGGAGTTATAATAATATACAAAAGGTATGAAGTTACTTAACGATCATAATTCCAGTATATTTTAGAGTTCTCATAAATTTGGCAAATAGGAAATCTATAAGCATTATATATATTTGAATATATATTAGAGGATTTAGTATTTCTAAATGTTAAGGACGTTATAAATTAACAGAATTTAATATATTCAACTGAAAATTATGAAGTATATATATTATGTATTTTATATAACGAAATATAATAATATAATTATAACACATTAATTATATCAGAATTATTGTTTTTAAAATATATTGGTATTATATATTCTTTTTCACAACATTTTGTGTATTATTTACTTTAAATAGTATTAAAATATCATTTTTACTACATTCAGATTTATTTAAATTAATATATAATTGTTTTAACTCTATAATAATTTATATTAATCAAATAGATTGATTTATATAGCATTAAAGCATAATTATAAGAATTTAGAATCCATGTAATTTCACGGTTACGTGTATGCAGAAGAATATTACTCGTATATAAACATTCAAATTCGGCGATTTTTTCTATTTATTTTTTTGGTATAAATTATTTATTTATATTATGTATAATGATAGAAACTAATTGATTTTTTTGTACGTTATTTATTTCAAACTCTTGCTTTAATAAGATATAATAAACATATATTGAGTTTAAATATGATAATTTACATAAAATATTAATGTATTAAATATAATTCTCAATATTTTTAAATATGCAGTTATTACAACTATTAGATATCATAAAAAATTTATAGATTTTAATGTTCTTGCATTTTTTATAATAAATATATACATTATATGGGAATATAACAAAATTTATATTTCAATTTACTTAAAGCAAAATAAATTAGTATATATTTGTTCTTGTAATTATTTGTTAATTTATATGTGTAAAATGCCTTTTAATTATATTATATTATTTAAAAAAATTTAAATTGAATTCATTTTACTTTTTTTTTTTTGTTAATAGTTTTATAGATTTTTCATATTGATCTGTATGCTATTTCATATTTTTTGTTATTTAACTCATTGTACATATTTTCACACGAATCTATCATTTTCATAAGATTTTTATTTTTTCTTTTCATTA